CTCCTGCCTCAGCCTCCTGAGTGCTGTGTTTACAAAACTGCCACTCTGCTTGGTTTGTTTTATTTGTATAGTAACATTTCTCTGTAGCATATGCACAGAGCTGATGAAATGCTGACAGTCTGGAAGACTTTTGAACAGGTACTGTTCTGTAAAAGTCAAGATTATCTCATACAATGATGTCACCAGGAAAACTGAACAGAAAATCTTAAGTAAAATTATAAAGATGTTAGGGGTATGACTTTCACAAGGAAAATATTTCCACTTTCTGTTGAATATTTGACTTCATTGTTGTTGGGTTTTTCTATAACTTATACTAAAAGCAGTCACTTCCTCCGACTGGTTGTCAGAACTCTCACTATAAATGTCCAAGTTCCATAGTAATATCCGTGCCTATTACATGCCCTCAGGTTTGATTCACTGGCTTTTCCATCCTTACAGATGAATCACTTATTTCATTGAGAATTTGGTACAAAACATTTTCTCCCCAAATCATTTTTCCCTTCTATAGTTGTATCAGACATCTTTCTGTTATTGTAGCTAGCATTTGAGATAATAAACTTAAAAAAGTTTGTTTTGACTTTGAAGGTATTATCAATGATTGAGGGACTGGGGAGATAGCTCAGTAGAATAAGTGCTTGCCTGGCAAGTGCAAGGGCCTGAGTTCAATCCCTGGTTCCACGAAAAAAAAAAAAAAAAAAAAAAAAAGCAATGATTGGCCTCACTGCTTTGGGCCTGTGGCTCTACATTATGACAGAACAAACTGGTCACCTCAGATCAGAAAAGTGGAAAGACTGGCAGTCCACAATCCTCTTTAAAGGCATGTCCTAGATGACCTAAAACCTACCACCTTCAAACGTTTCTAGTACTTTCCAATGGCTCCATGGCCTAACACATGGACATTTAACCTCCGAAAAGAGATAGTGGAAATAGTTCAGTAGAATAAGCACTTGCCTGGCAAGCTCAAGGGCCTGAGTTCAATCCCCGGTTCCACAAAAAGAAAAGAAGAGACCATCATCGCTGTGTGGACAATGCATAGTTTACAGCAAGCTAATGGAGGTGGAAGAGACGCCAGCCACTGGACCAGACCTCATCCTCAAGGGTAGAGCTATCAGATGATATCCCTCAAGCAGCAGAGCAAGAGAAGGAAGTGACACTGCTCAGAATCTGATGTTACAGCAACCAGAATTCTGGGCCCTGCACTCAAAGAACATACCCCAGACCCAGAGACTTGGCTCTCCTGTGGCACCTGAGAACTCTTAAGGTCAGAGGCAGGGCTGACTCCAGCCAGTCACTTCCAGGGGTCACTGCTGCCCTCTGGCTGGGGTGGGGGTGGGGTAAGGGCTTGGGGATCTGGGAGAGAATAAATCCATCAATCTAAATCCAGAAAGGGGTAGAAACAGCTTGTATTCACCAGGAAAGGAAAGGAAAAGAGAAGAGAAGCAAAGTGAAGTGAAGAGAAGAAAAGAAAAAAAGAGAATAAAAAAGAAGAGAAGAGAAGAGAAGAGGAGAGGAGAGGAGAGGAGAGGGGAGGGGAGGGGAGCGGAGGGGAGGGGAGAGGAGAGGAGAGGAGAAGCGAAGCCCCTCCTCCCTAACCTCCAGAGGCAGGGTGAGAAGGACGTGGGAAGTGCTCTGGAAGCTTTTGTTGCTGAGAAAACCCCAGGCAGAAACTCACAGCGATTGCAACTCTGACGAAGGTGAAGGAAATAGACACTCCAGACTCAGACTGCTAAAGGTCTGAGGGCTTGGAGTCGGGCGGCGCTTGCGCTCTTCCCCCAAACTTGCCCTCTGCAGTCAGGCCGAAAGGGCCTGGCGGTCCGCTGTCATTGGCAGACTCCCTCGCTCCCCCGCGTGGGTGCGGAGCTTAGGGAGGTAGCGCTGGGGAACCACACTTGAATTTCTACAGTGAGTTTCTGCGGGTGAGGTGTTACAGTAGTTGTTTCCAACACACGCAAAGCCTCTCAAACTTTCCTCTTATTTTTTCCTCTCATTTTTCTCTTCTTTTTTCCTCTCTTCAGCTCCACATCATCTTTCAAACCTGTTCTTCCTTCCCCCCTCCAGGTTGCCCCTCAAACACCATCCTCATCTACTGCTTCATTATTTCCCCTCTTTTGTTTGTACCTTATATTATTTCATTTTGTTCTAGCCCCTCCTCTCCTCCATTTTTTCCTTTCCTAGCTGTGGGCCTATCTGCATCATAACACCCTCTCCCTGGGTCATTGAAAGAATTGTAAAGTTTTTAGCAAGTCTTAGAAGTGTTGCTATATGCTTCATTCTTTGAAGGTTATTATTACTGGTAATTCTCTTCCCAATACAGTGATAGATACTGAACACAGTTCTTTGAAAAGGCAGAGGAGATTCAGCAGAGCAACTCATAACCAAAGCCAAGGACACACCAAAGGGAAGCCCACTTTCTAAAATGGATAAGATAGGTCTCTATCCCAAGAGTAGAGATCTCTGAGGCAGCAGAGCTTTCTATGCCAACTGATGACAAATCAAGGCAACAAGGTACCTTCATAAATGTACAACTCCACAAACACTGGACTCAAAGGCAGTGAAAGGTATGAATTTCCAAAGAACTCAATAAACAAATAGCTAAAGAGATCAAAGTCAATATCAAAAAACAGGTGCAGGAAGAAATTACAGTGGCACCCTGGTTCAGGAACTTAATTCATTCCAGGATTCTGGTCACAACCGAATCAAAGTTCCCCTTAAGTTTCAATATAAATAAAGTTAATATGTTCTGAACCATATGTACTTTCTAACCACAAACACATGAAACAGCACAGTACAGTATGGAGAGAGAACACTAACCTCGCTTGAGGAGACTTCTGGCATGGAGGACAGGAGAGTGTGGAGGAAGTTTTTGTTTGGAGGGAGAGTTTCCCTCTATAAGGACATTAAGGATCTCCTTCAGGGATTTCCTTTCTACTTAGTCTCTTAGCTTCAGGAGCAATTTTGAATTTTTTTTTAAAAATCTGTCCATGTCCCTTGTTTTTTCCTGCTCTGCTTAACCTGGAAACGAGCAACCACATTATCATTTATCACACTTAACATTCTGTTGGCTATAGTTGTGTGTGAGGGGGTGCTTCTCAAAGAAGTCCTGGAACCATTTCTTTTCTGTATAATAGATTTTATTACATCACCATTCACCTCCTCGTCTTCCTCTTCCTCAGTGAGTGCTCCTCAAGTGCCTTCTGCTTTTTACTCTGGAGTTCAGCAAGTTCTTCCATTGTCAGTTCCTCCTTTTATGGTCCTCAGCAAGGTCCTCAATGTTTATACCATCAACCTCCAGACCCATACTCCTGCCCAGGGACACAATCTCCTCCACTAACCTTCAAAGTCACTTTCAGTGACAGGTTCTGGCCACAGTTTTCTTCATGCCGAACTTCAGGTCTGATACATGACATCTTCCTAAGCCTTGTCAATGAGGTGGATGCAGTGGAGGACATTGAAATGTTTCTCCCAGAACTCTTTCAGAGTCAAGGATGTCTCTTCAGTGACATTAAAACACCTGGTGAAGAGTGCCTTTGGGTACAGCTTTTTAAGATGTCCATCACTTGTTGGTCCATGGGCTGCAGAAGAGGTTGTGTTGGGAGGAGGAAGTTGACCTTTATGAAATCATCCTTGGTCTGTATTCATCCCTGGAATTGTGCTGGTGTACTGTCCATCAGAAAAAGGTACCTTTCAGGTAGTTGATTGTGTGGTATTTCTTAACAGTGGGTGTGAACATCTTGTACAGCCCTTCCATGAGCAATTAATTGCCTGGTGACCCAAGCTTTCATATTGGTCTTCCACATGACAGGCAGTCTGGTTTTGCTGATATTCTGTTCTGTGAAAGCTTGAGGCATCTGGAAACAGTACACCAGTAATGGCTTAACCTTCAGCTTGGTGCTTTCATTTTCACACAGCAAAATGGTCAAACTGTCTGTCCTTCATGGGCTTGTGCCCCATCATGACTTTCCCCCGGTGTGATAGCAGCTTTAGCTTCTAGAAGAGCCCTGTTCCATCACAATTGAACACTTATTGAGTGACATCTTTCTGTCTTCATGAATTCCAAGAATTCTTTCTTGGAGGTTTCTACGGTGACCTTGTCAGAACTGGAAGCCTCACGATGTCCTATTACACTGCGGAGGCCACTTCTCTTGCAGAATTTATCAAACTACCCTCTACTGGCTTTACAGTCATCACTTGCTACACTCATAGAGAGGTTTTCTTACAGTGAATCATGGTGCAGTTTCCTGGCTTTTTCAAATGTCATAGCTTCACTAATTCTATCAGCAGCAGTCAGCTGTTTCCCATCCAACCACACTGGCAAAAGCTTTTCCACCTCTTCAGGCACTCATGTACTCTGGGTAACATTGTTACTCCTTTTGCCACATCAGCTCCTTTGATGGCAACTTTATTTTTCAAAACAGTTGAGATTTTGGACTTTGCCATTTTGTACTCCAAGGCCAGGTTTGTCACACAAGCACCATGCTCACTTGTCTACAACTTTCAATTCAATGGTTATTCTCTTCAAAACCCTCTTACCGGGTTTCCTGGGGCAGGCAGTTCAAACCCGAGGACAGAGAGGTGGCGGTCTCTCGCGAGCTGAGTGTGGGTGGTCGTAGCCCACGTCTGTCTTCCCGGGCGAGGTGAGCCTTGTCTCTGAGCGCCCCGCCGCCAGGCCTGCAGGTGCGCCCAGGTGTGTCGGGTGGCGGCCTCGCCGGTGCCGCCCTCGGTCTCGGCCTCCGAGGCCCGTGCCAGAGAGACTGTTCCCCGGCCAGTGCCCTTCCAGAAGCCCGAATGTGGTGTCGCTGGTTCCCAAGCCCGGGTGCAGAGAACAAGGCCGTTGAGCGAGAAGAGGTTCAAAATGAAGGGCTCAGGCCTTTCCGAGCGTTGGGAATGACCCCCGCAGCGTGGGTGCTACGTTCCCTCCCAACCTTAGGCTTCAAGGGCGGCAGCACGTTACAGTTAATTGTTCAAACGGAACTTTTGAAGTGGCCTTAGTGACTTTTAAGGGCAAGTATGTGAGGTTTTGATTCTGGAAGTCTACCTAATTTTGACATCTAAGAGCTCAAGATTTACAGATGAAACACAGTTTGAAGATGTCTGAAAGGCACTCAGCCAGCCCTGGAGCAGGAAGTGAGGCCGGCTCACCTATCAAGTTCAAGTACTCCAGTCTCCGAGATTTTTGTTCCACATCATCCTGTGAAGATAGTGGCCATCATGAGTTGTCAAGATCTTGCAGCTTTGATAATACAGATAAAGATTTTTTTGGAACGAAAGAAAAGGACCCAGTATTAATCCACACACACCCTGAAATTTCAGACCTGGGCTTAATACATTCCTTAAAGTCTCCTGCTCAAAGAAATAAATTTGTCTTTTCTAAGAAGGAAGATACCCCAGGACTTTGTGAAACTCCTAAATTTGCTGGAAAAAAATCTTTACTACGGAGGTTAGATGTATCTTTCTCTCTTCTAAAGAAAGACCTTGAATTACAAAACAGTTCTCAAAGTGCTATAAGCCAAGTCTTCAATTTAGACAAAAGTATTCCTAACAGTGTTTTGGATTTTCCAAAGCAAAATAGCTTTAGCCCTTTAGTTACTAGCAATGTAAAAACAGAGGAAGTGACTTCTAGCAGTCAAACCCTAAGACTAAATTTTTCTCAACACAAAACTTCTACAATTGATGATTCCAAGGACGAATGCAGCCTATTTGAAGTTGAATGCATATCTCCAATTCAGGGCAGTAATTTTAAAGATTCAATCACACAGGACTTTAGTGATAGCAGTTTAAGTGTTAGTGATGAAAATACATATCCTGAACTTCCGGGTTCCTCTGGTAGTAGAATAACCTACAGCAGAGATGAGGACATATTTGTGACTCCAGTAAATAATCTTGCCCCAAACACTGAATTTTCTGCAAGTCAAAAACTTTCTCCTTCAGTTGAGATAAGAGGCAGTATTTCCACTCCTGAAGACAGTGGTTTTAACTCACTGAGCTTGGATAAGTCAGACGATTCCTTCTCTGATCAAGAGGGTTCTTTTCATGAACTATTTCAGACATATAAAGGGACTTGCAATATGGGAGATACGATACAAAAATCAGGGTGCCTTAGAAGGTCAAGAAGACAGTCTACCCTTCAGGAGCAAAGCTCACAATCAGAGACAGAGGAGGAAAAGCAGATCACCCACCCCACTTTTCAAACAAGACCAGAAGCTGCTTCAGACATCTCAGAGAGTCCGCTGAGCACCGATAAGAGTAGAGATTTGACTTTAAGCTTTAAGAACTTATCAAAGACTCCAGCCTTGCAATTAGTGCACGAACTCTGTATGAAAAGCAAAAGGAAAAGGTTCCAGGGAAAGGATACAGATGAATTATTAGAAGAAAGGGATGGGGGAAAAATAGCTGTACTGCAATATGCACTTGCTGGACTGATTGGCAAGAAGATGGGTATAGAACAATTGGACATTTTATCAGAATTAAAATATAGAAATCTAAAGCATATTCTTACTATGGTTTTAGATTCCTTGACTGAAGAGAGCTTATACAGTGTCTGGAATGTCAGTCGAAATTGGCGTGAAATTATTGTTCAAGATAAGAAAGCAAATCGGAGGAGGAAATTTTATATCACACACCTGAAAGCAGATTCTAAGGGGGCTACATTAAATGTTGAGGATGCTGCCACTTGTCTCCATCTTTTAAATCGCTCAGCTTTAAGATCAGTACAAGCACAGGCTCAGACACCTAGTTCTCAGAAGGAGCAGGTTCCAACTTTGTCTCCTTGGGGAGAAGTTCTGACACCTCTGGCAAGCTCTACACTTAGTCACTTAAGCAGTAAACAAGAAGAATATGTTAAGGTCGCCAAGACACTTTTTATTGGTGAAGCACTGAAACCTTGCCCAAAGTGCCAATCCCCTGCCAAGTACCAGCCATATAAGAAAAGGGCATTGTGTAGCCGCACAGCTTGTGGTTTTGACTTTTGTGTGCTCTGTCTGTGTGCTTATCATGGGTCTGAAGAATGCAGTAAAGGAACAGCAAAGCCAAGGAATAGAAAAGATGCTCTCCCTGGAAGTGCCCAGAGTAAACGGAATTTGAAACGCCTGTAAAGACTTCAAAGAAGTAATCCCCTGCAGTGTTTTATTTTTCTGACTTAAAATTATGACTGTTTTGAACACATGCAAATCTTCCCATTAATGAAAGATGATGATTTATTTCCTATTTTAAATATATTTAATACATGTTGTTTTCTTTAAAGTGAGTTTGAAAAAAATTTATTTTACTTTGTCACTTTTACGAATTTTAATAATTTTGTGTTTTACACCTATAATATTCAAATAAATGAACTTAACAAAAAAAGGGTATACAGATGAATGTCCATTTTGTATCTGTGTATTCAAAGTGGTTAGAATAGATATGTAGTTACATTCTCTTAATGAATAGAGGGATTTGTTCTAATGGTGTTTGTAAATAGGATATCATGTCTGCATCTTGTACAGCAATTAACCGCTAGGAAGAATATATGCAATGTGTCAATTATTGAAACTGTCCTACCAATTTGATTTGAAAAAATAAATAAATAAAGGACATTTTCATACTTGAAAAAAATAATTTTGTGTTTTAAATAAAGAATTTTAAGTGTTGTCATAAAAAAAAAACAAAAAAAACCCTCTTACCATTCTTTCTCTGCTCTTTCTTGTTACCCTCATTATTGGTCTACACATTTTGTCCCCTTCATTACCACACTGCACTTTCTTTTCATCACCATATTTGCTCTGCACTTTCTTTGGAGCCATGCTAGGTTGAATATTACTGCATAGTGCTGTATATGCTGAAAAACACACAAAAAAGCTTTCCAGTGAGCCTACCCAGGTAGGTCTGTGATCACGATCTCAACTACAGGAAACCATGACCACATGTCAGAGTGGGAAAGATGGCCACAATCATGCATAGAGTTTGTGAATGAAAGCAAAATTTTGGTAAATGCTTCTGTTCACAAATTGTTCTCAAACAGAAGGATTCATTAACTGAGACATTAATGTACTAAGATGTTGAGTGAACTCAAAGAAGATGTATATAGTTAAATGATTCAGTTCATAAGATGATTAATGAACTTGAAGTTACTTATAAGGAGCTGAACAATTTAAGGAAAACAATGCAGGATGTGAATGACCACTTTTTTTTTGACCACTTTTTTAAAAAAAGGATTGGAGATTATGAAAAGGAATCAAGCATCAATTCTGGAAATAAGAATCACAATTAAAAACTTTGGCAGTGGGCATGGCCAATTAGAAGTGAATCAAGTACCAAGACTTGAAGATAAAATTGATGCAATGCTTTTACTTAGTGATAATATCATTTATGTAGTGATACTCTAAAAATAAGATGCAAAATAATAATAATTATTGTAATAATAAGATGCCATGAGAATTGAATCCAAGACCTGCAAGATAACTGTGCAAGAACTAGTTGGTGAGTTATAGGAGAAAAGGAAGGGATAGATTATGGCACTAAAGTTATTAAAAAATTTATTCACTGACATCATTGCAGAAAATATTCCAAATATAGAAACTAAAATGAATATTCAGGTAAGTGAGGAATTTAGAACCCCAAATACATATAGCTAAAAAAAAAATCCTCTCTGTGGCACAGCATGCTCAAAATCCCAAAGCTTCAGAGAAAAGACTGAATACTAAAAGCTATTAGAGAAAAGTATCCAGTAATTTATACAGTCAAGGCTTCCAGAAAAATAGCAGATTTCTGTGCATAAATCTTAAAGGCCAGCAAAGTTTAAAGTGAAGTTTTTCAAGCTCTAAAGAAAATACTTGTCATCCAGATTACTATATCCCGAAAATTTATCCTTCAAAAATGATGGAGAAATAAGGACCTCCCATGGCAAGGAAACTCTAAAGAAGTTCCTGACCAGCAAACCAGCAATATAGAAAGCAGTCAGAGTAATACTGAAGAGAGATTAGCAAAGTCAACATAACCAAAAGCAGAAAGGAAACAATACATTCAAATGGGAGAGTAGATAAACAAGGAAAAAAAAAAAAAAGAAAAGAATCAGAACTGGAACAATAAAAATATGACAAGAATCAGTAAATATCTTCCAGTGCAACTGTTAAATCTAAATATTCTTAACTTTCTATCAAAATACACATATTGAGGCCAGCCTGACATGCATATCAAGACCCTCTCTCAAAAGGAGAAAAAAAAGATACAGAGATTGGCAGATTAAATTAAGAAACAAAACTTAATATATGGTCAACCAGACCAAAACAAACAAACAAACAAACAAACAAACAAGCAAACAAGCAAACAAACCACATAAATATTAGAGTTGAAATTTTGAATTTAGATACCTAAAGTGCTTCATTCAGTAACAACAAAATACACACTTTTCGAAGCAGCCCATGACAGTTTCTCTAAAATAGAAGATATTTCAGGCCAGATGGCATTTTAAAACAAATACAAGAGAACTGAAACAATTTCTTGTATCCTATCGGATAACAATGAAATGAAAGTAGAAATCAACAGCAAAAGAAACCATAGGAACTACACAAAGACATACAGATTAATACATTCTTGAATAATCAATAGGTCATAGAAGAAATCAGGGAAAGTATTCTAAAGTTTTTAGAATCAAAGAATGGCAATCCAACATATCAGAATCTGTGATGCACACTGAAGGCAGTTCTAAGAGGGAAATATATAGATTTGAATACCTACATTAGAAATATAAAGCATTACCAAATAAATAAACCAATGATACATCTCAAGGTCCTAGAAAAACAACAGCAATCCCAATTCAAAACTTGCAGAAGGAAAGGATATTATAAAACTCAGAGTGGAAGTCAGTGAAATTTAGACTTAAAAATACTCAACAAATCATACAATTTTTTAAAAACAGGATAAATAAGATGAACAACTTCTTAGCCAAACTTACCAAAAGAGAGAACCACCTGAATAAAATTAGAAATGAAAAAGGCCATACTGAAATAGACAATACTGAAATTCAGGTGATTGTAAGAAACTACTTTGAAAACTTATATTACAATAAATGGATAATCTGGAAGAAATGAGTAAATTCCTAAACACATATGACTTATCAAAATTGAACTGAGAAGCTGTAAGAACTCTGAACAATGAAACTAAAGCAGTAATAGAAACTTCCAACTAAGAAGATCCCAGGACTCAGTGAATTCACCACTGAGTTTTATTACAATTTCAGAGAAGAACTAATGCCAGCACATCTGATATCTATGAAATTGAAGGGGAAAGAGTACTACTAAGTTGTCTATGAACCCAGCATTGCTCTGATGCTAAAACTGGACAAAGAATTAACAATAAAAAAAATTTTACAGGCCAATATCCTTGAGAAATATAGGATATAAAAATTCTCAATGTCATACTTTGTAAACAGAGTGGAACAAATCATTAAAAGGTCACGCATCATGACTGAGTTGACTTCATCTCAGGGATGCAATGATGGTCCAACATACTTAAATCAATAAGTATGCCACAGAAAAAAAATTAAGGACAAAATCACAGTATTATCTTAACAGATGCATAGAAAGCTTTTGACAAAATCCAACATATTTTCACAAAAAAAAGAACTCTGACAAAAATACATACATGGATCTTGAATGAATTAAAACACCACTTATGACAGACCCACAGCCAAGCTCAGGCTCAATGAGGAAAACTGAAAACACTCCCTCTACAATAAGAGTAAACTAAGGGTGTCCCACTCACCACTCCTCTAAGTTCTGAGCACTAGGCGGGAGAAAGAATAAAGAGCTACAAAAAGGAAAAGAAGACATCCAACTACCATACAGCATATGGTATGCCACTTTAAATTGAAGACCTAAAATCTCCATCAGAAGATTCTTGGCACTAATAAATAAATCTAGCAAAGGGGCAGAATATAAAATCCATAGCATTTCTGTATGCAAATAATGAAACTACTGAGAAAGAAATCAGGAAAAGAATTCCATTCATGATAGCTTACAGCAATAACACCACCACCAGGCATCTATAATGAAAACTCTAGTTCTCTGAAGAAAGAGATTGAAGTAGAAAATGGAAATACTTCCACTATTCCTGGAGCGGCAGAATAAATATTACCTAAATGGCCATATTACCAGAAGCAACATATAAATTAAATGCACACCCTATCAAAATACCCACATTTTTCACAGAACTAGGAAAATAGTCCTAAAACTTACACAGAACCAGAAGAGACCCAGAAAAATCAAAGCAATCCTGAGTAAAAGGAGTAAGGCAGGAGGCATTATAGCCCAAGGTCACAAGTTGTACTGCAAAGCCATAGTAACAAAAGCAGCACGGTACTGACACAATAAGGGACATATAGCTGAATGACATAGAGTAGAGGACACAGAAACAACCCAAGTACCTGTAGCCATCTGGTCCTTGACAAAAGGGCTAAAAATAGGCTGGAAAAAAGAGTCTGTTTAACAAATGGAACAAGGAAGAATTGGTTATACATGTGCAGAATGAAAATAGTCCCATGTCTGTCACCCTGCACTAAAATCAAATCAAAATGAATCAAAGACCGAGATAATAAAACAGAAACACTGGAATTGTTGGATGATAAAATAGGGAAAACAGTTAAAGGCACAGGCATTCTCATTTTTGTTCCTTTGTTTTCTCCCCCTCTGAGTGAACCCATAGAGTTTTTAGTTATTTAGAGGAGTTTTGCTATCATGTACTTAAGTGGTTTGGTTTTGTCAAGGAACTTTGGAAGCTTGTAGCGCTCTAAGCTTTCTGAATTTGAAGTGTGGTATCTTTCATTCTTTTGTGAAAATTCTTAAGCAATATCTCTTTGAATGTTCCTCAAGCTCCTTTCTCTTTCTAGCTTTTTTCTGGAGTTTCAGTTCATGTGAGATTGTAAGTATCGCCCTGTAGGGCTTAGATCTTGTTCTTTATATTTCTCCTTGAGTGTCAGTTTAGATAATTTCCACTGAACTACCTTGAGGTTCATGGATTCTTCTGAGCTCCATTAAATTTTCTGATGGTGCCATCAAAGAGCTGCTTCATCTCTGAGCTTATTTTTAAGTTTTCCATTCATCTCTTTATTCTAACTTTC